GTAATTACACAGACAGGCAGGTGTGATACTTGAACACATGACATGTTATGATGTCTGTTGATTGCAAAATGCTATACACAAAAAAATGAGCATGTATTTACAAAACCCAACATCTCTATATATACACACACAATGAGCCGTGCGGGCATCTGCACATGAACCAGCCGTTACACTTGAGTGCACACCACCCGCTCTGACTGTGTTCGGAATCCCTGCTGATTCGTTTCTTGGGAAGTAAACCCAAGTACACAATATTGCACTTTTGATTTGCGATTGTACGCTTATAATTTTGTTTATATGTTTTTTCATAACCAGCAATGTATATTATATGTCATGAATAAGTGATAATTGTGTTTTAATTATGTTTGATTTTTTTGTTGCATGTGACCTTTAAGATGAAGTAGTAATCCGCAGATGTCGTATTGGGCACTCTCCTTTTTACTCATTCGTGTTTATCTCAATGTGTTCCGTGTCATGGCACTGCTGAAGAGCAACCTCCTCGTGTTGAGTGCTGGGTAACACTAATAGCTCTTCCCCTTTGTGGACCCGGGGTAAAATGTGTCCTAAGCGCCCCATTGCTGGTAGTAAGAGGCGACCGAATAAGGCAACCTGTTTGCCGTGGGTTGCACCGCAGAGTCGGCGGAGGACGAGATTCTGCAGCTGGTGGTTGAGAGCACTGGTTCCAATCACCATTCCGACTTTGTTTTGTTTTTAAAGCTATATGTATCTGTCCTAATAGATCTTCATCACATATTCCTCTGTGATAAAGTTGCAATAAGTTTAGACTAAATCGTCCCCGTGAACCTTCTTCAGCTTCATATCTGAGCATGAAAAAGTCAATGTACAGGAAGGTGTAGCTGCAAGACTGACTGACTGACTGAGTTTGGTTTTACGCCGCTTTTAGCAATATTCCAGCAACATCACGGCGGGGGACACCAGCAATGGGCTTCACACATTGTACCCATGTGGGGATTCGAACCCGGGTCTTCGGCGTGACGAGCCAACGCTTTAACCATTAAGCTGTAAGAAGTCGAAACTGTTGTGTACTTCAGAATGTGGATGTTGACCTGGACAATGTTCCTGTGATCATGACATTGTTGACAATGACTAACATGTCAACTGGGAATACACTATGACTATTAAGAACAATAGATCCGCATTGATTGGAAGGAAATGTTGCTTGCATTTTGATGACAGGACTGACTCATCACTCTTTGATGAGCAAAGAAAGAAATTTTGAATAACATAATTATACATTTAAGAACTTTCTGTTATGTTGTGTGACTTTAATGATAGTCCAACAGTATTTTCGACATATTTGGTATGGTTGATATTATGTAAAGCATGGAGCTGTTACTGTGGAACAGACGTTATGAAATATTTTGCTGATCTAGATACAAAGTACCACCTTCTGTTTCCTTGTAATGGTGTTTCATGCATACAGTGCTAACCAAACGTATATGTGATCTTCAAATGATATAGCTGAATTCGCAAAACATAATTTTGGTAAAATTACCTTTAATCGTAAACTTTAACTCATAATTTTCTCATCAAACGCACTTTCTGTTAAAATTTATATTTGACCCCACTAAAATAGTTTTACGATAAGCATATCAATGATATTATTGTCCACAATTTTAAATCATGATCTGAGCATTCCAAATAGAAGCGATAAAACCCTTTCCACATTTACAAGAAATCCCTGCCAAAAGCAGAGTCGATTGTACAGTTGTGACTATATCATGAGCATATACTTGTTTCAGCAGTATTAGAGCTGTAGGATGTTGTTTGTGAACAAATCGGGTCTGAACCAGACAATCCAGTGATTGTCACCATGCGATACGATGACGGAGTATGTGTTAATGAATCACTATGAAATGGTGATGATACCAGGTGTTTGCGAAAAGGTGAGCGTATCCTGCCCCACCGGTGGTACTATTTTGATGAAAATCGGTCACTCTAAACCAGAGTTCTTAAACTGAACCATCCAGTCATCGGTGAAAATATCACCATAGCTGAAATGGTACGTTGCACCTAAAAGGGGCCCCTACACGGTGGCCACGCACTGTAGCTGATGAAACCCGACTTTAAATCAAAGCTCGATCATTCCTGATTGTGAAAAATCACATCCCATTCGGTCGCCAGAACTGCACCACATTTTCACCATTTTGGGGGTCTGGCTTCTTGACCAATTATCATAGACACATATCTCTATAGATTTCTCGTGAGATTTTATCTTCATTACATTCCACATATATCCGCGATATGCATTGAACCATTCATGAGAAACCACAAATCTAAATAATGAATTTTTTGTAATCTTTAATATTTTAGTCATGCATTCCCACTTTATAACAGGCGATTTGACAGTGAGTCTTGAAATAGCCTTGTTTATAAATAAATTTCAAATATTTTGTTTTACTACAATTCAAAACCTCATTTTCTTACATAAATCGTCCACTGACTGTAAATGCAACTTAATGATTATTATAAGATGAGATGGTACAATGTACGTGTGTCACTGCATGCTCCCTACGATCACACTAGTTTCCCTTAAAAACTAAGAGGGGCGGTGGGTGGCCTAGTGGTTAAAGCGTAAGCTCGTCACGCCGAAGGGGCGGTGGGGTAGCCTAGTGGTAAAGCGTCCGCTCGTCACGCCGAAGACCCGGGCTCGAATCCCCACATGGGCACAATGTGTGAAGCCCATTTCTGGTGTCCCCCGCCGTGATATTGCTGGAATATTGCTAAAAGCGGCGTAAAAACCATACTCACTCACTCACTCGTCACGCCGAAGACCCGGTTTGGGATTCCCATATGAGTACAATGTGTGAAGCCTATTTCTGGTGTCCTCCGCCGTGATGTTGCTGGAATATTGCTAAAAGTGGCGTAAACTCACTCACTCACTCACTGAAAACTATGAATCGATTGAGGGCGGAGGTGTGAAAACTCACAGATTAAGCCGACAAGCGAAAGTAATTTCAGTAAGTTCGTGTAAATATCTGACTGACCATAATTGTCGAAGTTAATCGATGATATTAGAACGGCTGAAATAGTTTGACGCTTCGGGAACTAATTGTTCTTAATAGACGGTATATGACATTCAAATTAGGAATTCTCCCGATGAGTGTTCTACAAGCTTTGCTCCAAGCGCCTGGCTCTGACAGCACTGTTACCCCCGGAAGCCACGCCCCTGCATACAAGTGAAAGGTTATACCAGCCTGTGAAAGGGTCGCCTTTATCTCTACTGCGAAAGCAATGTTACCCACGTGACCCTCAAAATCCTTTAAGCTTTCAGCAAACTCGCCGTCACCTCCTTGTTTGATCGCGTCCGTGGGACGATCAGTAATAAAATGAAAGGATCTATGCTCACGTTAAGGGTCCGTCTCAAAAGGATCAATGCGACTTTCCGTTAAAGCAAGATACATTCAACCTTGTCAGCGAACTCCTAGCTTCATCGCTGATTTCGTCATTATTTCGCCTTTTATGCCAAGCGGTATATGTTGCGGTAAGTAGTCGAGGCTTATTGTTCTTTTATTTATGTTTACTATTTTGCATTAAAATACAATAGCCAACGTCCCGTGTGTTGTGGTCAACCTTTAGGTGATCTATAGCCAATATTTATGTTGTATTGACCCATATAGTCATATAATTTTATATAGCTGAGTGCGGTGCGCTCTTCATGTCGTTTTGCATTGTTATAGTCAGTGAGTGAGTATAGCTTTACCCGGCTTTTGGCAATATCCCACCAATATCACGGCGGGGGACACCAGAAATGCTTCCGTAAGAGGCGACTAACGGGATCGGGTGGTTAGGCTCGCTGGCTTGGTTGACACATGTCATCGGTTCCCAATCGCTCAGATCGATGCTCATGATGTTGATCACTGGATTGTCTGGTCCATACTCGATTATTTACAGACCGCCGCCATATAGCTTTAATATTGCTGAGTGCGGCGTTAAACTAAACTCACTCACTCACCCAGAAATGAAATTGTGATATTGTAGTCGGTGTTACTATCCTTCGATGACAGGTTTTTAGAATTTACATGTATTTATGGTGAATTCTAAACTTGTTTTAGTCACGATATGGCTGAAATATTGCCGATGTGACTTTTAATTTTAACTCACTCACTCACTCACTCACTCACTCACTCACTCACTCACTCACTCACTCACGCACTCACTGACTCACTCACTCTAACAAACAAGAATTATCAATCCCTTCGCTCGTTATAAGCGTGGTACGTAAGTCCCAAAACATTCAAAGTAAATTTAAACTTACTAACATATTTAATCGTAGTAAATATAATATTTTAATTTATGGCTAGATTATCTAAAATTGCTAATAGCTGAAGGGATTATGTAAATCCAGCTGGGGTCCATGCAGGAAGCAAATGTACTGTAAGTCCCCATGGTCCCTACTATGATGATCTATCTTTAGTTGTTAGCAATATATAGCCCATTTTAACCTTGTACCTTTAAACTTAGAAATAGTGTTTTATGGTTATATAGTTTTTTTAATCTGGGACAGACTGGTTATCTTACTGACTGGTAAGTATATAAGTTTGTTTTTATTTCATGTATGCATTTATAAATTTACAGCTTTCATAGTCACGATATGGCTGAAATACTTGCCGATGTGACTTTTAATGTTAACTCACTGGCGTTGTAAACGTAGTTTACTCGCATTGTGACAGATGGCGGTTATCTCGCCCATCCATCTTGCTTTTTCATTCACTGAAGGTTGGACTCCGAGTACACATCAATGCATATTTATGCATGTAAATTTGTTGGTTGCCCATGGGCAACATTGTCATGTTCGGCCAACCTACCCTTTGAATTCAGCCTCATTGCTGTTGATACCATCCCCATAGAGCTGTTGCCACCATCTAAGAAACACTATATGCTGGACTACCATACTAATAAGCGGCTGGGATGTGTTAGCTGGTAATTTAATATTGCTGCAATCGAGTTTGACATTTATATCGGTATAATTGTAGCTGCAAGTATACAAGATGGCAGTTCATATATGATGCTTTGCCTGACACGCGTCGTTTGGTAAGCAATTTTTTTCTCTTCAGTCTTTGAAGGCACACTAGTGAGTGGCGATAGTACATTTTACGTTGCTATTAACGGGTTTCTATTAGATAATGGTGACTTTAAATTTTAACTCACTCACTCACTATTAGATAATGCCGTTAGTCCCCATGGTCCCTACTATGGTGATCAGGCTCCAGTTGTTGGTGATCTATAGCTTGTTGTTATGTTGTACTGTTGTCTATAGTGCTATATGTTTTTTATGATAGCGTACAAGTTTTATATTAAGAGCTGTAGTAGTGTTTTACTGCCCTTCGATTACAGTTTTTTACGTTCTACATTGATTGATTTTAAAATTGAAATATATTAATTTGACTTCGTCACGATATGGCTGAAATATTGCCGATGTGACGCTAAATATTAACAGACTCACTCATTCACTATTAGATAATGCAGATTCTCTCTGAGAGCATCACATGAATGCGGGAACAGTATGTACATTATTCATTATGTACACACTGTTCTTTCAAAATTTATGTTTTTGTTTTGTTATGTCCCTAGAACGGTGATCTACTTTCAGTTGTTGGCGATCTACAGCCCGTTTATATATTTTATTGTTTAGAAATCCACGTGTAGAGATAGATGCTAGTTTTATATTCTGGGTCTGTAAAATTCTAGTTGTTTTACTGTCGTTTGTCGACAGGTTTTTATCATTTAAGTGTATTTAGAACTTGTTTTAGTAACGATATGGCTGAAATACTGCGGTGTGATTTTAACTCACTCACTCACTCATTTTCACAACATCATATGCATGTGGGAACAGTAGGACTTGTACATTAATCATTATGTACATGTACACACTGTTCTTTCACATAGTGATTTTACGTAAATGTCCCTTGTATGATCCTTCAGTTGTTGGTGATGACGTCGACGATATTTTTATAATGTATCGTCTACAATAGTTGAAATTTTTACATTTGCCTACTAGTTTTACGTCTAAATTTTAGTGATATACTTTTTACTGTCCATCGCTGACAAGATTTTATAAATTAGCTTTATATATTATGAATTATAACTTGTTTTAGTCACGATGTGGCTGAAATGCTGCCGATGTGGACCCGTGAAGATCCGGGTTACAATTGATCTTCAGTAACCCATGCTAGTCGTAAAAGGCGACTAACGTGATCGGTTGGTCAGGCTCGCTGAATTGGTAGACACATGTCATCGTATCCCAATTGCGTAGATCGATGCTCTTGCGGTTGATCACTGGATTGTCTGCTTCCAACTTGATTATTTACAGATCGCTGGAAAATTGCAGAGTGCGGCATAATTCTAAACTCGATGTGACGTGGAATCTTAACTCAGTCACTCACTGTTTAAGTAAATACACATTATCTAGCAATACACGTGTTTAGATCTGATCACTGTGTCTATCTAATAAGAGGGACTTCCGGGTAGGACTGAAAACAGAAACCTAAGTTTGCAAGCGACAACTCAGTGTGTTGGGCGATATGGCTGAAATATTGCCGATGTGACGTTAAATAATAACTCACTCTCTCACTTAATGTGTTGGGTGGAAACGTTAGTTGACTTTGAGGTTTGTGTGTCATCGTTCATTGGTTGTGTTGGACGTTGTTCTTGGTATTTCTGTCTGGCCCAGACGCGACCATGTACATGTTGTCATGTTGCGACGTGCTTCGTCGACGATCAAAGATACGTTAACGTCGTCCAATTTCTGCATGTGTGCAAGTGAAAGAGCGTGTCTCCGCACGGGGAACATTGTCTACTCGGACCCGGTGTGCGTTCTGTTTATCATCAACCTGTACCATTTCGACCAATATCCTCCCAGCTATAATATAATGGCTGCTGTCGTCATTACTACCACACTGGCTTTTGTCTTCCGTCCGTCAACCATCCTGATGGGTTGGTTGGTTGGTTTGGTGTTTAACGCCGCATTCAGCAATATTGCGGCAGTCTGGAAATAACTGAGTCTGGACCAGTGGACCAGATAATCCAGTGATCAACAACATGAGCATCAACCTACGCAATTGGGATACAATGACATGTGTCAACCAAGTCAGGGAGCCTGACCACCAGATTCCGTTAGTCGCCTCGTACGACAAGCATGGGTTGCTGAAGACCAATTCTAACCATGATCTTCACGGGTATCAACCATCCTGAACTACCAACCGAGGGCGCAAGTAAAAGCTTTTGGACATTTATAATTGGTGCTGAGAATTCCGATGTTTTTCAGAAGTTTACAAGGGTTGGAAATAGTAATACTTCCTTGGGTAGGGAAACATTTGTCAACATTTTTAATGCCTTAGAAACGTACGTATCCTTTCGGATATCGATGGCATGTATTTGAAAAGTTTTTGAGTGTGCGTATTAACGGTACTAAACCAAGATGATCACAGGATTTCCCGCTATGTGAAATACTGGGATCACACTGTTTCATTTGTACAAATGCTGTAGCCTTTCACATCAAGGTTCATATGACCTTATTATGCCTCTACCAAGTCTAGCCATAAATTATGAACCGTCCCTTACCCAAATATCTTGCCAACAGATGGTGCCTCAGGATGACAAGAGGATATAGAATTATACGGGTGAAACAGATCGCCGCGTTGGTATTAGTCTTCGCCTGCGTGGCAACGTTAAGGAAACTCGGGTCCAGGGCACTTCTTTGGTATGGATGGGGAAACGAATACACGGATACTGTTTTGAACTTCTACACAGCTTTATCGCAGAAAATGTCGGTGGTCCATTCACCGAGATGGAAAGAGCTGATGCTGGATGCTGCACACATCAACATCAGCCAGGCAGAAAGGATGATGCTGCATCTGTCGCCAACACTGCACTCCTATAAATGGGCTGATTTGGATCTTACGAACTTTGTAAGCATTGATAATGAATACTTTTACATTTAGATTTGCGAGTAACTAAATTGAATGAATTGACCATTTTATATGGTGCTTTTTGAAGAGATGAGATGGAGAATTTATCAGACCTCTGAGACAAATCTATCGCATTTGGAACACCCCTGGTGATTTACGAAGATATGTTGCATTCAATGCCAGGATCAAGGCCACAAATGCAATTGACTTTGGTGACCGCCCCTTTTCATCTATATTGGAATAATGAGTTTATCAGAGATACACAATCCTGGTACGTATATAAAAGTAATAGAAATGACTCAAACAAATCCACCAAACAAACATTTAATGAGATAGCTGCACTTTAATATTCTTAGAAATGTTGCTACAAAGATCTTGTCTTCTAATGAAAATTGTTATTATGTCTTCATGTCGTCCCATCTTCATGCTTTCAGCCAGAGTTCGAATTCCTTCCAAATTTCAAGAATCCGTGTTGGAGGGAATCATATATTCCTCCAGTGACCTGCCCGATCGCACCCAATTACAAACGGAACATGACGTCAATACCACGCTCCAAAATGTCTTTAAGGTGCCTCCCGTACTTCTTAATTATTGGTCAGCCAAAATGTGGCACCACAGACATATACAGAAGATTAAATATGCATCCAGAAGTGACCTTACCTGGACCGAAGGAGTCGTTTTGGATGGAAAGAATTCGCTTCCGTGAGTAGAATATTTTTAACCAGCTCTATGTTTCTTGTGGCTCGTTCTCTAATACTGCATACTCAGCGAACAATGAGCAACTGCATCAAGCCTTTGAATGCCATTTAGAAGTGATGCACGTAAGGAAAGGGAGATGGATGTCAACTTCTTATGATGAGGAATACAACGTTCCGAAGTATATCCTTACTCCTTTTTCAGGTGAATAAGATGCAAGATTGTGCATCAATCTGATAAAGGAGTACGGATATACTCCGAAACGCTGTGATCCTCATAGTATAGAAGTTGACATCCATTAAAACTCTCTTCCTAAGGCGCAACTGCATGCTTCTTTTGTTGATGTCCCTAAGGAGGTGGCCCAACATTGGCTCTTGGTGATCTATAGCCCTGTTTTAGATTGTATTATTCTGTGTCACATTTTAACATTTACATACTAGACCTATGTCTGTGATCATCTAGTTACTTTACCGTACTTTCTTGAGAGGCTGTAGTTTGAAATATATTGTTTAAACCTATCGTATAAACCTATCGTATAACTATGATTTGATCAAGTCATATTATGGCTGAAATACTACCAACGTGACTTAAATTTCACTCACTCACTCTCTCGTTTTTAATGCAAGAGTATTGACATAAACTGCTAAAAGTGCAATTGAAAAAACAACAACAACAGGTAACTTGTCTAATAGGTGTATGGTTGGATCGTGTCTATTACTCGTCAATGTGCGTGTACCATCACTGTGTGTAAAATCAGCTCATAATAATATAATCTATTTATCAAGCGCCCCTGATAATCCAAGCTGCCTGTGAGGCGCTGGAAGGTTACAAGTCATGACTTATCCCGCCGGGTATCCATTTACTGGCGGATGAACAGTGGCAGTTTATGCACTAAGTCGCTTGCCTAAGGTGAGACCACATGTTTCACATGTGCTTCGTTGTGGAGCAGGACTGAAGTCCTAGAAACTCTCTGGAGTCAAGCTGCCAGACACGGTCACCCATCAGCTTGAGTATTCCACCCAGTCACTGAAAGCCGTGACAAAACATGCAATGCCAAGTGACGGGGTGGGTGAGCGAGTTACTACGGTTTATAGCAATATTCCAGCAGTATCACGGCAGGGGACACCAGAAATGGGCTTCACACATTGCACACATGTGGGGAATCGAACCCGGGTCTCAGAATGGCAAGCGGACGTTTTAACCGTTATGCTCTTAAATCTTTGTGGCAGACTTATTTCACAGAATACTGCACTTACTTCTTTACCCTTATCAACCGCCTCCGTGGTGTAGTGGTTAGAGCGTCCGCCCAGAAAGCGGAAGGTCGCGGGTTCGATCCCCGGCCGCGTCATACCAAAGACGTTAAAATAATGGTACTTGTTGGTCCCTGCCTGGCGCTCGGCATTAATGAGTACATAAAGGAATGGTCGGTTCTGAGTCGGGTATTCATGCTTACCTGCAGCATGGTATCTTGGTGAGCTAGCACTATATAACCAGCTTACAGTAGTCTGGGCTAGTACAAGCAGCCACACATACACACTCGTATACGTCGTCACATGAGCGAAATAATCTCACCCCACCCCACCTCACCCCACCCGACCTCCTTACCCTTATCAATAGCATTTGCAATGAAATCATACAAGTAGTTCAACTGATTAGCTATGGAAACTCCTGGCATATGATTGTTTGTAGGTAGATTGCTGTCTCTAAAAATGCAGTTTTCAAAGACAAGCCAAACAGCAGGTCCGAAATTTGAGCCATGCCATTCATTTCCATTTTTAATAGCTTTACAAATTGTGCTATTCTGGCCGAGCGAACCACCGAATTCACCTTTTTCTTGCCTTTCTGAATCCAAATCTGATGACAAAGTATGTCCTTTAGCCAATTGACTCACCAACTTCTAAAATGTCGACCAGGCAATCTGAGCGACAGATCAGTACAACCATAAACCTCGATAAAGTTTACCCCGTGATATTTCTTTACTGTGGTTTTGTTGTGGTTTAGAACATGGTGATATTTTTAGACACTTCTATATCACTGATAAATCTTTATGAACTATATGTAAATTTGTAAATATAAAAGATGCATATATGCGTATCTATCTTAATGCCTACCTGTTTCTGAAAATGATGGTAAGAATTGAGCTTCAGCAACCCATGCTTATTGTAGGAGACGACTAATTATAACGGGATTGTGTAGTGAGGCTCGCTGACTTTTGTTAGTGCCTGTGTCAGGAGGATACAATCCTTCCATGAAGGCTAGATACTGACACCTCCCATTCCTCTGTAGATTGGGTAACTAATTCTACATCTTACTTTTGTGAGTACGTATGTCCCCACACTATCAAAGTACATTTAAACGAACCAGATATTTAAACGTAGCATTTTTGTGATTTTAAACTATTGGTTAGTGTAAATCCAACTAGGGTCCATGCAGGTAGCAAAAGTACTGTAAGTCCCCATGGTCCCTAGTATGGTGATCTAGCATCAGTTGCTAGTGATCTATAGCTCGTTTGTTATACTGTACTGTTGTCTCTAGAGATTTATTTTTTATGATAGCGTACTATTTTTAAATTATGAGCTGTGATAATCTGGAATTTTTACTATCCTTCGATGACAGTTATTTACGTTTTAAATTTATTGAATTTAAGATTGATAACAATTAAATTGTTCTCGTCACGATATGGCTGAAATATTGCCGATGTGACGCTAAATATTAATCACTCACTCACTCTTACATTTGTGTAACAGCTCTGGGTGCTAGCGGTTCTTTCATTACACATTGCAGGTCCCAACTGTTCATCGATAAACACATATCTGGACTATCAACAACGAAGTGCCAATTCCATTGACCGGGTTTTCAGGAAGGGCGCCGCGGGAGAAGTCTACCATCACGTGATCACAGGTACAAAACCACAACGGCAAAGATGGGTAGTCGTGATACCCATTATATAAAACAGAAGCCGAATATTAGGGGTGGGTATTGCAGAGAATTTTCATATTGCGATATATTGCGATGCGAAAGCATATATTGCGATATGTATTGCAATATATTGCAAGAATGTTTTTGTGTAACGAAATCTATTTATAATCGAGTTAATGCTTGATTTATAAAGTAAAAACACAGCAAAATCACTATTTTTGATTACGCTTTATTAAAAACTTTTAATCATGACAAAATAAATAATATTTGGCCCAAATGAAACAAGGAAAAGAACAATTTACCATCAACACACTAGTAACTAGTTTGAACTAGTTTCTCCACTCTAAAAAAAGCCCTGAGATTTTAGACAGCAAACTTGACCTGGGTCCCGTTTCACAAAGCTCTCGTAAGCCTAAGATCTCGTAACTTTTCTCGTAGCATTCGTACCTCCTATGTTACTAGGAATGGTACGAGATAAGTTACGAGACCTTAAGCTTACGAGAGCTTTGTGAAACGGGGCCCAGGTCTAGATCACTGGTCATTAATGAGTAAATATTTAAAACATTCAGATCCAAAACATTGCGAAACACTTGAACAAAAATTAAGAACACAAATTCAAACCGAACTTAACTTGACTTCCGATGTGAAAAACGGTTTTCGATCAGCGTATTGCAATACGTATCGATTTCATATCTGAACCGGTAAAGACCGGTAAACCGGTTATATTGCGCAGCCCTACCGAATATACAGAATTAAGTATTAACCGCCGTCATGTTTAATTAGTTAATCATTAAAAAAATGTGTTATATAAATTATATGTATGTTTATATATAATATATATGTGACGTTTTGTTAAGGATTAACTAGGTTAGCTGAGGTGAACTTATTAATGTACTTAAGATTACTTAAGATTATTTCGCTCACATGACGACGTGCATGCGTATGTAAGTGTGTTGCAGCTTGTACTAGTCCAGACTGGTACTGGTTAAGTTGGTTTCGTGGTGCTAGCTCACTGAGATACCATGCCGCAGTTAAGCATAAATACCCCGCTCAGACACACTATACGGACTCCGAGCAGAGCAGTCCTTGTTTTACCGATTAATGCCGAGCGCCTGGCAGGCACCAACAAGTACCATGTTTCAACGTCTTTTGGTATGACGCGACGGGGATCGAACCTGCGGCCTTCCGCTCTTCCGGAAGACGCTCTAACCACTAACTACTCATTGTCCTCGCCAGAGGGTACGTAAGTCCCAAAACTTTCCAAGTAAATTTAAACTTACCGGATTTGTAAATGTAGTATCTTTGCTATTTAAATTATGGCTATATTTTCGTACGATCGCCAGCGGCTGAAGAGATGATGTAAATCCAACCAGGGTCCATACAGGTAGCAAAGGCACTGTAAGTGCCCATCGTCCTTGGCGTGGTGATCTGCAGTCAGTTGTTTGCGATCTACAGCCTGATTGTATTTTGTGTCGTCTTCCATAGTTAAAGTGTTTTAGATTTAATTACTAGTTTTAAATTCATATATGTAATAGTCTAGTTGTTTTACTGTCCTTCGTTGACAGGTGTTTATAATTTAATTTTAATTATTATAAATCCACAACTTGATTAAGTCACGTGTGGCTGAAATATTGCCGATGTGACTTAAAATCTTTACTCACTCACTCACTCAAAGCAAAAAAACACATCTTGAAACCACCCTGTATTGTGGCGTAATATCTCGGCGGGGTGCACCAGAAATGGTCTTCGGAATTTATGCCCATGTAGGAAATCGAATACAGGCCTTCGGCGTGACGAGCGGACGCTTTATCCACGGTGCCACCCTGAACCATCGGGGGCTGAAGTCTCGGTCTTTATATTACTTAGAACTTATCCCTCCCCAGATAAATAAGTATTTCATGTTAGTTTGATCATGAGTTGACTCAATGTAATTGTATAAAGGACCTTAGCACTAGGTTCTTTTCCAACAGGCAATACATACCGTACGAGGAATCAGTACAATTGATACGATCATAATTATTAGGGGCGGTGGGGTAGCCCAGTCAGTCAGTCATAATTATTGTTCAGCATACAGATCGCTCTGTGTTAGTGGTTCGAGATCTCAAAACTGCAAGCTGTCCAGAGTTAAACGTGAACCACAATTACTCTTGTGAAAATTTTGATGTAACGATAATCTTCAAACCAGGGTCGTATTTTCCAACAATAAACGATAAATGGTGGTTCGTGATTTAGCAGCCCTGTGATCTGAACTAATGTTTAGGTGTCTTTAAGGCTTAAGTATATAATCGGCTTCAGAACGGCTTCTCCAGCTAGGGCCCATGCAGGTAGCAAAGGTACTGCAAGTCCCCATGTGTTCTAGTATGGTGATCTACATTCAATTACTGGCGATATATAGCCCGCTTTTATATTGTGTCGTTTAGAAAATATCATTTTATGGTTATTTGCTAGTGAAAATCTGTGGTATTCTAGTTTTTTAACTGTCCTTTGTTGACAGGTTTTCATCTGTTAGTTTTATTGTAACGATATGGCAGAAATATTGCCGATGTGATTATAAATGTTAACTCACTCACTCACTCAGGCCATAATCACGAGTGTATTCATTTGATTTGTATTCTGTAAACAGCTTTTGCAATGAAAAGAAATTCATGTAACTCTTCCTTAATGATCATGGTTAGAATTGGTCTTCAGTAGCCACATGTTGCCGTAAGAAGCGACTAACGGGATCGGGTGGTCAGGCTCGCTGACTTGGTTGAAACATGTCATCGTATCCCAATTGCGTAGATCGATGTTCATGCTGTTGATCACTGGATCGTCTGGTCCAGACTCGATAATTTCCAGACAGCCACCATATTGCTGGAATATTCACTCACTCACGCACTCTTTCATGTGCTTTATCAGGCGACGGCTCTGTGGATGTGATGTGGGACAATACGTTCTGGCCGATGTTGCCGGGCAACGAGGGATGCCGAGAGCCATGCGTCACAAACGCCGACATGGTCCATCATCTTAATCCGAGAGCGAGCATCATCATCAGTCTGAGGAATCCCATCGACAGGTTATTTAGAGCTGCAAGTTTCACCACCCGTCCACCATTACCCTGATCATTACACATGCACAACCCGTGAAGTTCAGGGTTAGGCCATTCTCTTCCCACAGAGGTTACTTGTCATATCTTCCTACGAACCTCTGTTCTAATACGGCCCTTTCATGGTGCGAGTGTTCAAGATTCGTGATTGGTTGCAATCAGATTTAGTTGTGCAATCAGCGACGTTGTTTCAAAATTGATCATTCGCAAGGCCTCGGTTATTTCCGTATGCTTCGGGAAAACTAGAACCTCTTTCCCTGCGCGATGCGCAAACGTTTCTTATAGACAGAACTCAGTCATGTAAATGGCAGATCAATGGCGTCTCCATCGCCCTCGTTGACAACGGACAAGCTAGCCATTAAATGTCTTGTGTCACATCAACACAAGTTCCTGGCAGAGGAGGGATATTTGTGACCCAACATTTGCTTGTATTAGTCAAGTTTATGTAACACGTGTTCTGATTGGACAGAAAGAAGGAAGATAATTCGTGTTGCGATTTTTTTGCCGCTAGGGGATTTTATGAGAACCAGGAAATATGACCGTATTAGAACAGAGGTTCGTATGAAGAATTGACAAGTAACCTCTGTGGGAAGAGAATGGGGTTAGGCACGCTGTCATCTATCCCATTTTCGTAGATTAATGCCGATGCTGTTGATCACTGGATTGTCTGATCCAGACTCGATTATTTACAGACTGCCGCTATATAGCTGGAATATTGCTGAGTGCGACCTTGTGCGACAACAAACAAGAGTTCTATCATGATGACCTAATCGCCTCATAGCTCAGAATATATGTATGTATCTTGGCATGAGTGTAACGTGTTTGGCTGCTGTTTGCTTCTTTATGTAGCATCGGACTCAAAACAACATATTCTGTCCAGGACACATATCATAAGAACATAGAATGATGGTAAATGCCTACCACAAATGTATATCTAAGTGAGGTCATTGACGAGGTGGCGGGGTGGCCGAGTTGTCGAAGCTGCTGAAGTTGTCTGTAGAGGCTTTTGTCCCTTAGTTTTACCGTTATCCGGTATCCCAGGCTAGTGAGGCCAAGGAAACCGTTGACTTGACCTAAACACTTTTGACCTAACTCCTCCACTACGTTCACTGGAGTACCTTTTAAAGTAATTCTAGGTCTTTATGCGGTCGAAAATTTCTACCAAAGCGTATGGAATTAGTTTTTGTTTTAGAAAACTTAAAACTGTACTCATGCGAGCATTTTTATTTTATTAAGGCGCAGCTTTAATTTACCTTCAATTGTGTGCATATTTTTGCCTCGACAAGATTGTTAAAGTCGTCTACAAAGAGCGACCCATCAATTGAATCATTTAATTCCTTCAACAGACTGTTAATTTTAATGCCCAATACCATGGTGACCCAAACACCCGGTTTACAACGCCACCTTAAAGTAGATTATTTTAAAGATTGTTTCAGTTATTATTACACACATAACGGGTCTCCGTGTGTTGTGACACGTGGTATTGCTGTCCAGGGTGCCATTGTACAAAGCAACCTTAGCGCTACGTCACTCATAAGTCTATGTTATGATATGGGAGTTACGATCACCTTTAATTTAATGACGACAACCTGGTCACTGCTGCAAGAGTGTCTTTCAGCTCTCCACACGCTGCTTCACGATGTGACTCCCATCTACAGTTTACAAATTACACCTGCCCTCTTTCCCCGATAATCTATAGCCTATTTTTACATTGTATTGTCCAAATAGTGCTATCAGTTGTAACTTCCACACTAGTGTTAGTTGTAATTGTGATATTCTAGTTGTTTTACTGTCCTTTCTCGACAGGTTTTTATAATATACATATATTACATTTCAATGTCAAATATGTTCTCGTCACGATATGGCTGAAATATTGCCGATGTGACGTTAAATATTAACTCACTCACTCACTCTTTCCCCGATAAACGTGCCACATAACTATTTACTTCTGGACTTCTTGTTCACTGAAATCATGCAGTGCCCGTGAATAGTCATAACATGATCTTTAGTGTCCAAAGACCAGATTGTCAGCTGCACCAGTGTCTTCTGAATTTATACGATTGGTTTAACAACATTTGATGAGAATTATTAGTATTATTATTTAGTATTTGAATCCAGTAACGGTTGTTTCTATGGCCTCCTTAGCTCGTCTCTAAATAAAGGGCCCTTTGGAAACCAGGTAAGATCAAACATTCCACAAATGTGTCATTGGGGCTGTGTGGTAGCCTAGTGGTTAAAGCGTTCGCTCGTCACGCCGAAGTCCCGGGTTCGATTCTCCACATGGGTACAATATGTGAAGCCCGTTTCTGGTGTACCCCGCCGTGATGTTGCTGGAATATTGCAATAAGGGCCGTAAAACCATACTCACTGAAATGTGTGATACCATTCTCGTGACCGAAAATGTTGGATTATTTTCATTCAGCATCAAACCTAAATTTTCTTCTTTCTCTCTTTAGGCTGTACTCCGATTACTTGTACGAGGCCCAATGGCTTCACTACGGAATATCGAAGCTGGACTTCCATCAAGAAGTAGAGCAGGAGATACGAGAGTTTAATGCGTGCCTTCTTACAAACTCAGTCAGAGGATGTGCATATACTGGAAGCCATGAAAACGCCTACAGTTCAAAGGTAGAAATTTGAATACCGTGCTATTTGTGACCACAAACTCAAACGGAATTCTTTTCTGCACTTACCAGAATTGAAACTGATGCATAAAATAACAGAGGTTTATATTCATTGGATGACAGGAATATTATTATTTATGACCTGTCTGATTTGTAAAATGTAAAAGTGTGACCTGGCCCTAGATTTTCGAAGCTCTCTTAGGGCTAAGATAGTCGTAAGTTAATGTTAATATATGTCACTTACGACTATCTTAGCGCTAAGAGAGCTTCGAAAATCTAGGGGCTGATTATAGACAGGCATTGGGTTGGAGTTCCTCTTCTCCGTCCCAAGATTTACTTTTGCTCTGCAGAATCCTGCAGAATTCCAATATCTATGCTAACGTGGTTCATGGATGTTACCAAAATCTGCGTTGTCCGATGCTTAAGATGGCATGGCACGGTTATTTTTCTGAGTATTTGTGTCGGTGTTGTTTTGCTTGTAAACAGGGACGGTGGGGTAGCCTAGTGGTTGAAGCGTTCGCTCGTCACGCTGAAGACCTGGGTTCGAGTCCCTACATGGGTACAATGTTGAAGGCCATTTCTGGTGTCCCCCACCGTGATATTGGTGGAACATTGCCAAAAGCGGCGTACAACCCAATTCACTCGCCCATTTGTTTGTAAACAGAAAGCAATATAACATGACATCACTTTTCATCGCCCATGATTAATTTGTGTTCATTTTCTTTTCGACTGGTGGAAGGTTCGACTCAGACAGGGGCTTTATTCGGTCCACGTTTCTGACTGGTTGAGAGTATTTCCTCGTCAGCAACTGCACATCATCAAATTTGAAGAGTATATGCTGGATATCGAAAATCATATGAAATCTCTCTTTAGGTTCTTAGATCTACGTAAGTATTGAAAACATAAACCATATTAGTATGAGATGGTTAATGTTTATAATAATCTACCAAATACTGTGCATTTAATTAATTAAGATTTAACAAAGAAATACCCTAAAAGAGATGTCAAAAGAAAAATATATTTATCATGGTGAATGTAAAACGGTAAAAAAGATATTTACCATTCAATCCGTTGAATAAACAATTTTGATAATCAAATACCTTTAAGGTATAGGGCTCTGTTTTGAACAATAAAATAAGAAGAATTATACAAGGACATCTTACCTGAAACCTGACACGGTAATTGTGCTTATGAAACCAATTGAAGCGTCATAAAATCTACCTTTAACGTATGTTTACGTTTGGTTGCAACTGAACCAATATTGCGCTGCTTGCACTTGATGGTTCTTATCATCTTTTCAATGAAATACATTTCTACTAGCCCCAATTTCTCGAAATAAACTTAAGTCTGAGTTTTGACTTAAGTTACAGTTTTACTCAAATTTGAGCAAAAGCAGGAAAATACATTTCCCAGAATATACTGAAATGAATATAAAACTCAAACTTAGACAATTTGAGTTAGGTAGATAGGTTACATGAGTTGTTTTGTCTTTTTGGTTTTAGAAATGCGACTGACCTAGCTGTTTCAAATCGTCAAACTCAGTTTGAAATTTGAGTAAAAACGTTTCGAGAAATTGGGGCCTGCACAAGGTCCCTCGCAAACCATGGTGGTAGTAAGAGGCGACTAACGGGATCGCGTGGTCAACTTGGTTGACACATGTCATCGTATCCCAATTGCGTAGATCAATGCTCATGCTGTTGATCACTGTATTGTCTGATCAAGACTCGATTATTTCCAGATTGCCGCCATATAGTTAGAACAGTTCGTATTTCCCCATTAACATTTATATGTGATGTTTTCAGGTGAACTAACAAAGAGTGAAATGACACCAATATTGGAGCTGAAACGTAGTAATACAAGAAAAGCTGCAGCTCAAAGGGTTGGCGAAATGCTCGCTGAAACAAGGCAATTGCTGACATATTTCTATGGACGCTATAACAAGGAGTTGGCAAACATACTTAGTGATACAAAATATTTATGGGACTAATAAAAATGTATATACATGTATATATGTGCAGCTGTATTTGTGTGGTTGCAGGTTATACCAGCTTTATCACGGTGGATTGCATTTGCATAGGCATGTTCTTCCATCACCTGGGGTGGTGGGGTAGCCTAGTGGTCAAAGCGTTGGCTCGTCACGCCGAAGACCCGGGTTCGAATCCCCACATGGGTACAATGTGTGAAGCCCATTTCTGGTGTCCCCCGCCGTGATGTTGCTGGAATATTGCTAAAAGCGGCGTAAAACCAAACTCAGTCAGTCAGTCAGTCTTCCATCACCGGCGCTCGTTCCGACACTATATTTTAAGATTTAAACATTTTACGTATCTTTGTTCAGTTTGGGGAAAGACGGGTCAATATCCCTCACATTACAGTTTTCTACCGTCGTTTTTGTATTTTTTGGAATTTTTTGAATTTTTCGTGTTCTTGGCTTTTGTCTATCAGTTAACAACTCAAGGTCATGACAGATGGGTGCCCTTGAGGTATTTGACATACCCAAACAAAAGGTGATGTCACCTCAAGGTGAGAAATAATAAATCGAATGCGTAATTGAGAGTTATTTTGGTTTAAAGCCGTCATACATTTGAGTGAGTGAGTTCATCTTTACGCCGCAATCATCAATATTCCAGCTATATGGTATATGTCTGGAAATAAACGAGCCTGGACCAAACAGTCCAGTGATTAACATCCAGAGCATCGATCTACGCAATCTGGATACGATGACATGTGTCAACCAAGTCAGCGAGCCTCACCACCCGATCCCGTTAGTCGCCTCTTGCCACAAGCATGGGTTGATGAAGACAAATTCTAACCCGGATCTTTGCGGGTTTGATTTGACGCATCAGTGATAAAAGGGATGTCCGATGCAATACCCTATTGTGACTTGCACCACGCCTTCCCGAAGTTTTCCGGGTGAACAATTGATTGTTTATAACAGGTGCTGCCAGAGGTACAGGATACGCTCACCTTTTCCCGAACATTTGGTATTATCACTATTGTGATATTCATAGTCATACTCATGATTTAGTCAGAATTGTTCAATCGACTATGCTTTTAGCAGAGATTTCTTATGGAAAGAATTTTGTCGGTTGACATGTTATGCTCTTGAGGGTAAAGGACCCGTGAAGATCCGGGGCAGAATATGTCTTCAGCAACCCATGTTTGCCACAAAAGGCGACTATGCTTGTCGTAAGAGGTGACTAACGGGATCGGGTGGTCAGGCTCGCTGACTTGGTTGACACATGTCATCGGTTCCCAATTGAGCAGATCGATGATCATGCTGTTGATCACTGGAGTGTCTGTTCCAGGCTCGATTATTTACAGACCGCCGCCATATAGCTGGAATATTACTGAGTGCGGCGTAAAACTAAACTCACTCACTCACTTGAGGGTAAAGAATTGAGATTTGGTCTGAAATTTAGACCGCTAAACTTTGGATCAGCCTTCAAATGTGGCCAGTTTAACGTCAAATCCACTGATTACAAAATACCTTTATGAGCTTTCCTGCACCGTATTCTATATGCGCAGAGGCAAAAGTTTATGTTCCATAATTTTTTTAATGTTACACGGACAAAGAGTATTAAAATGGCCAAAGAAACGGAACTAAGCAGTTGTTGGAATTGCGTGAAATGTGCATGAAGTATGATTATTTAAAGCGCTTATTTAAAATGGCCAGACATCTGCGCTCAGGGGTGGTGGGGTTGCCTAGTGGTTAAGGCGTTCGCTCCCCACGTGGAAGACCCGGTTCGATTCCCCACATGGGCACATTGTGTGAAGCCCATTTCTGGTGTCCCCGGCCGTGATATTGCAGGAATATTGCTAAAAGCGGCGTGAAACTGAACTCACTCACTGTTATAGCTCTGGAGCAAGTTCGACACGTCACGCGGCGGGGGAAATGACAGAAGGGGACTGAAGTATGCCTTAGTCTGGTAACTCGTAATGTGACACTGATCGTTGTTTTAACGTCCATAAAATCACCATTTGGCACTCATGGCGACGTTTTCGGTAAATTATTAAGTCACAGATCATCTCTTTAGTGGCTACCCACAGGTAACGAGCCCAGGTCAAGAAAGATAGATTCGAACCATGCACCACCAACATAGACTCTACCCACCAGTACAGAACCCAGGTCAAAACTAATGGATTCGAATCATGCACCACTGACATAGACGTCATCCACCAGGACACATATCCAGGCGCACGTTATATCAGGCCCTGTGTTCTGGAAGGGGTCGTTTGGGGATGGGGGCTTTATGATCTGGGGTGGGATAACAGCCGCAGCAAGGATGCCAATAATGAAGATTAAGGGGAACGTGCCAACGGCCGCTTTATAGCTTTTGCACACCAACTTGCTTGCCTCTGAACTATCTCATGTACTGTTGTGGCTCATATGCCAGGTGCTGATACCGCCAAATCACCCCCATGAATGTTTTGGGGCTTACGTACCCCACTGGAGGGCACTTGCTTTTGATCCCCCCTCTTTCCGTGGTGGCTCATTTGCGTGTGCAAGGTGCACTGTTCCTGTGGACTAGTGGTCGTTACCAGACCTTGAAACATTTGTGTTTCCATGTAATAACATTTCATTCGCGTCAGTAAATGCATAACTCTGATTCTGTTTTGTGTATGTGTGTGTTTCACAACTTTTGCCTTGGGGTATTTTTGATAAAATGTGTATAATATTCCTTTCACCGAGGCGAAATCTTAACAACTAATGCTCTTAAATTCGCCCTAATTTCAAATTTAAGCCTATTATCAAAAGAAGTAACTAGACTTACCCAGAATTGTTTGTCATAGTTCTGCAAAGCTGTTTAAATACATCAAATTAAAATTACTACAGCTGGCTTATCCTCTGATTGTTGGGAATGTCCCTGAGATGATGTGACAATTCAAGAAGGTATGGGTTATTTATCCCCATATTGCCACAGGTACCAGCTACGAATTTCATAATATTGTAAATAGTGTAACAATAATGATCAATCCAAACAGCAAGAGACAGATTGCGTCCTATGTCTGTAACACTGGAAGCCATAGGGGATTACCGGACGCTGGTAATGAGCATTTAACCTTTTCTCTAACGACAGTAAAATATTGGATTTCAACAGAGCTGATACGTTACATAATAACCGGATTCTTCCAGAATATCTGTTCATCTGTAAAATCGTTTTGTAACGGCGGTGTCAACGGCAGTATCAACACACCGTATCAGTCGGCATACCGTGCACCGGCGACTAAGAGAACATGGTACATTGTATCGATCCAAACGTGGACTCTTCAAAACCGACGTCGTCGATTGACATGGGCCAGGTGAGTTCGACGTTGCCAGATGCGTGATTTGCGACGTGGGATGTTCACCGACGAGAGTAGGCTTTGCCTGTACAGTAATGACGACCGGGTTCGTGTTTACAGACGGGTAGGTGAACGTTTAGCGCCGAATTGCGTTCACTGCTGTGATCTCAAAGCGAGTCTTGTGATTATTCATGGTACCTTAAATGCTCGACAAAACAGATATGAAGTTTTGCGACCAGTTGTGTTGCCATTTATCCAGCAACAAGCGCACGTGGCATTGTCTACCAAAACGACAACGCAAGGTCTCTTAGAGCAAGACTGACAAACGGCTTTCTGCCTAACGCTAACATCGTTGTTTTGCCGTGGCCAGCATTTTCTTCCAACTTCAATCCGATAGAACACTTATGGGACTAACTACAAATCAGAAGACTACCAGCGCCACCTGGCACCGCTCAACAACTGGAACAATGTCTTCTGCAGGAATGGCAACGGATCACGCCTAAAGTCATTCGTCGTCTCACGTCCTCAATGCGTCTCCTTGTTGATTTGTGTAAAAGTTCAGACTATGATACCATGTGTCTTTCAGTGTCGGTCAAACGGTACTTCCGACTTTGTATGAAATGAAATTGTGCACATTTGCTGTAGAATTGAATACTCTGTTGACTGACTGACTGAGTTTGGTTTGACGCCGCTTTTAGCAATATTCCAAAACATCACGGCGGGGCACACCAGAAATGTGCTTCACACATTGTGCCCATGTGGGGATTCGAACCCGGGTCTTCGGCGTGTCGAGCCAACGCTTTAACCATTAAGCTATCCCACCGCCCCTGAATACTCTGTTGAAATTAAACAGATGTTCATATATATAATTATTATTTTGTTTTCAAGTTTGGTCACACACACTGTATACTTTCTTTTGAGCACTAGTTTATTTAACAAACCAAGACCCGTAGAAGTTGATTATGCTTGCTAGCTCCTGGATCAAATGTACTGTCTGGATTCTGGTAATAATATTGTCTATTCCCCTGTGGAAGTGCCAACGATATTGTTTGCTATTTTAATTGACCACTGTCTGGTCAGCGCGACCTGACAACATTTATAGGTTTAGTATATTATACTCGGAGGCATTATTCAAACATGAAAGCAAGCAGATACAAACGTATCCCCATATCACCAACAAGTCTTTCATTCAAACGATTGCCTTATCAGCTGCACCCAGCACACGCTTATCGAACAAATTCACCAACCGCTGATTTTCTTTTCACCTTATACTCATTTTTGTAAAGCTTAAGTATTTCATCGCATCAGAAGTGAAATAAGTGTAAGTAACGAACAGATTCTAAATGTCAACAATTTGGATAGGTCAGTTAATTGTCATCTCAGTATTTCAAATTAGTTTCGCAGCTTTACTGTACCTTACCTTATCTCACCTCACCTCATCTTATCTCACCTCACCTCACCTCACCTTATCTTATCTCACCTCACCTCATCTTATCTCATCTCCATCTCATCTCACCTCACCTCATCTTATCTTATCTCACCTCACCTCATCTTATCTTATCTCACCTCACCTCACCTCACCTCATCTTATCTAACCTTATCTTATCTTATCTCACCTCACCTCATCTTACCTTATCTCACCTCACCTCACCTCATCTTATCTTATCTAACCTTATCTTATCTTATCTCACTTCACCTCATGAATAATTCGAGAGAAG